CGGCATGGCAAAATTCTAAAAAGTAAAAAAAAACATACCTTGGCAACTGCATAGCAACACCCTGGAAACCACCTACAACACCCAATCATAATGTTGAATTTTGCACAGGTAAACTCAACTCACATGTTCAGAAAATGTACAGATCTAATCTCTTAACATCTCTTTATTTTGAAGCTCACTGCTGCCCTCTATATGCTGTTGGGGAAACTACAGTATGTGGGCTGCTGAAGCATTGACAGTGCCTGATAAGTTTAAAAATAATTTTAGTCTGTATTATTAAAACACTAATAATATAATCAAATAAGAGCACATTCACCGTGGTACTGTAGTGACTGCGGGCAGTTTTTCTTTACTGTAAGCTCTTTTCAAACTCTCTTAAAGCATCAGCAACTCTAATGAAATCCATCCCAGGTGTTCATCTTCACTTTTTCAGAAAGGAAATGACATCACACATGCACCTGGAGCCCCGTCTCAGTCCAACTTCCCATCAGTTTCTTTCACACTACTAACATATAATCCACTTACTTTTCTGCACAGATGCAGCCATGTAATTATTTGTTTAAAGATATAAACGAGCCGAAAGCCCCTCTGGTGGTGTATACATTAAAACTATGACAGATGTGTATAAAACACCCTCTAATGCGCTAAAGCCAGCTGTCCCGAGTCAATGGGCCACTGCGGAAGTCTTTGTGTTGAAGCAAACAGTCCAGCTTGTGTACGGCTGGAATCATTAACGTAGTTATGTGTGACTTAAAACAGGTCAGGATTCAGGACGCATCCTGTTTTCTCAATGGTTTTCTCAATGAAGCAGGTTTTGGCATCCAGTCTGAAGAATACAGATAGAACGAGAGAATATCCTCCATAAATAACCCTGTGCATCTGAGAGAGAAGAAAAACACTCTCGCTTTCATGGTCCATCTCATTCTCTCAAGCTGCCTTAAAATGAAAAACATTTTCAGCACAACAACCATTCGACAACATCTTCACTCTAAAAATGAAAAGTTATTTAGGGGTTCTGAAGCCTGGCAACCAGCCATAATAATCTAAATACTACATAGCAATACCCTAGCAACCACCCAGAATAATCTAGAAACTGCATAGCAACATTGTAAAAAACAAAACAAAAAAAAATGCCTTAGCAACACCCTGGCAACCTCACAGAATAATATAAAAGCTACATAGCAACGCCCTGCCAACCACCCAGAATAATCTAAAAACTACATAGCAACACCCTGGCAACCAGCCAGAATAATCTAAATACTACATAGCAATACCCTTGCAGCCACCCATAATCTAACAACTGCATAGAAACATTGTAAAAAGTAAAAAACACAAAATATTTTAGCAACACCCTGGCAACCACCAAAAATAATCAAAAACTGCATAGCAACATTGTAAAAACAAAACAAAAAAAAACATAAAATACCTTAGCAACACACTGGCAACCACCCAGAATAATTTATAAACTGCATTGCAACATTGTTAAAAGTAAAAAATAAAAAAATTATAATAATCTTATTATAAAGATTGTATGAAACTGTACTATACAGTTTCATTTTTAGTATGAAACTGTATAGTAACATACTAAAAAGTAAAACCCACACAAGACACAGACCTTGGTAACGACATAGCAACACCCTGGCAACAAAACATAATACCCTAGAAACTGCACAAAAAAAACACACATAAAAAATAAAAACTCAAAGCAAAAAGCAACTGCAGAGCAACGCCCTGACAAGTATAGTAAATAACCATAAATCAAGAATGATCTTTTCAAGCAAATGACTAAATAACTCTCTTATAGGTTGATCATGCAATTTATTTTCATTAAATCCTCAATTTTGATTAAGACCCCGCTGTATGTACACCAGTGATTGCACATTTCTGCACAACAGTTTTCTCATGGTGAAAGACTTAAACCAGGACAAAACTCAATTCTATGACGCCACCTAGTGGTCAAACACATACACTGCAACGGACTCCTGTTTGCTTATAACTAGAATCTTTTAAATCTATTAATTTCATTTTAGACACAAATGTGAAGGGGAAAAAAACGGAAATGTATTAGTAGTAGTAGTAAAAAATAACAACAACAAACAAATGAGTGTGTGTCATCACTGTATGCATTAATATCAGTACAATGGCTCATAGAGGACTGTGATTGGTCCATCTTGACCAGCATTAAGAAAAGCAACACGTTTCAAGTTACAGGCCCCACACACAGACAAATGGACATGACTATAATTCTGCACACATGGCAGTGGTTATATTTCATAACAATCATAATTCATTATTACTGTAAGCCTACTATATTACTTGTCCTCATTACTGTTTTATTTGTCTCAATATTGATCATATGATGATAGTTTCAGTGACACTCCTATCACCTAGTCTCTGTGTGAGCGTGCGGTTTTGAGTTTAATCCCTATAATGAATTTAACACAATAATGATGTGCATCGATAAATAATTTAGAATAAACACTGCAATATTCCATAAAAAACAAGAATTGTCCATTTTGATTTCTTAGTGACTTTAATGGTTTACTAGTCTAGTGTAATTTACAGTATCATCCGCCACAGGGCTCCGAAAACCAAACAGCCATGCGTCTGAATGAAAGAGAGTGAACATTTACACACTCACTATATGCTTTACTAAACCTCTGGTTTACTGTTCCCCATATCACAAAATCTTTATGATCAGTCACTTTGCTGTACAGTAATGGTTGTTAAATTTGGTGTGAGGGACGATACTGATATGAACTTTTATATAGGTTTAAATGGAGAAACATCATAAAATTTTAATAACAACAACAGTTACTATAATAACATCCTAACCAGTAGAATAGCCTTAAAAAAAAGTTTAGCCAGGAAAAAAAAAATACAGAAGGCTGTCAAAAGTACTAATATGATTTATTAAAGGGTAAATAGGGTATAAAGGTGTATCTTATGAAAAGGCAGTTTTACATTTATTTATTTTATGAGAGTGCATAAACAATCTATTGTTTCATATTTTCATTTTTTGATTGAAAAACAAATGCAAAGACATTTATAAATGTTTAATTGTGGCCTAAGTGTCTAAATACTTTCAGTGGCCACTGTATATGAACATTATCTAAATCTTTACATTTCACCTGAATCGAAACAATGTAATGCATCATCAACTACTGTATGAACATTCACAAATAACCATCATAGCGCTTGAATGAATGTGCTTGTAGACTTTCTGGTGAAACACAAAAGCAGAAGATATTCTGTACAACTGGCTAATGGATGATTTAATGATTATCAGCACAAGCTCTTCTCAGGGCCCTGTAAAGCTCTTTCATAAACTATCCTCGGAAATCATCAAATATGAGAAGAAGCAGAGAAAACAAAAAGATTAAAGAAGCATTTCAGCAGATTACGTCTTCCTGTTCCTCAGAAACATTTAAACATTGTAAGAGTAAATAATCATGACTGTATTACAACCAAAACAACAAGAACAAACTATATAAACTGATTGTGTTGAATGTGTGTGAATGTCAGAGACACTGTAGAAGAACAGCATCAGTCCAGAAACACTCCTACTCTGCCAGTCAATCTGTAATCAGAAGAGATAAACTCCAAGATATTTTGTTGAATCCAAATATACAGTGTCTCCTTCCTTTCTTGCTGATTCCTTTATGTCACTGATATTCATTGACTGACTCCATTCAGCCTCCCAGTAACAGTGTCCAGACAAACTCTCTCCACACAGAACCCGAGGATAACACATCAAATCTCTCTGGATGATCAGGATACGGCTGGTCCTCACGTGTGTCATGTTTCTGTTCTCCTCAGACAGGATGAGACGAGTGACTGCTGTGTTTCCCAGTGAGAGATTACTAGTGTCTGAAGACAAGAAGAGAGAACAAAACAACATTAACCACAGATACATGTGTGTGTGCAAACATACCTGTGTCATATTCCATGATTTACACTATAAAAACACACATTTACTTACTGAGGACATTAATTAGAATAAAGCCATTAAATATGTTTATTTATTAATATATAAACACATAACATATTCAAATTAAATGACCCATCATACCACTGATCAGCTCTACCAAACTTGGATGTCTTTTCCAGTAATAAACAAACACTGTTAAGTTGTTTTGATTGATACTGTGAAGCAGCTTTGATACAATCTGTATTGTGAAAAGCGCTATATAAATATATTTGACTTGACTTGACTTGACTTAACAGATTTCTGTGTTTTGTAGATAAAGCTAATTAAGCAATATCACATGAGAAACAGTGAAAAAACAGCAAGGATCACACAACACAACACAACAGTCAAAGATGCCTGTCTAATGCTTGTTTATAAGAAATAGTGAAGACAGATGAAAGAACCGTGTGTAAAAGAGCTCAAACGTGTGTTAGCTTGTCAAAATGATCCCTTGATGGTAAAGACAATGAAGATGCAGAAGAAGATCCAGTGTCAAAACAAGGAAGTACCTCAATTGTATGGGAGTATTTTAGTTTTAAAAACTCAATCGGAAATGCCATGTTAAACCTGTACAGTAGATCATGTGTAGCCTCTCAAAGAGGAAATATGATAAACCTGTCAGTCCAAGCACAACATGGTTATATTATTACCAAACCAGCACCAAAGAAGCAATCCACTGATTGTGAGCCAAATAAAACCTACCCTTTCTTAAAGGGACAGTTTACACAAAAATTAAAACTCTGTCATCATTTACTCACTCTCATGTTGTTCCAAACCTGTATGGATTTATTCTGCCGAACACAAAAGATGATATTTTGAAGTTTTGGTGACCAGAAAAGAGTGTCTTCTTTTGTGCTCGGCAGAATAAAGGTAGTCATACAGGTTTGGATGACGTGAGGGAGAGTAAATAATGACAGATTTTAAATGTTTGCCTGAACTATCTTTTTCAGAAGGCCTACTCCTTGAGATTGATATTGTAACAAAGTAAATCAGTAAATCTTTTCCCCCACGCAGCTCCACTTGTATATGGTAAGACTGAAATACACATACATATATTCACAGGATGAGATTAATCTTATTGCTCAACATACAGTTCATTCAGTGCACAGTTTGGATCCTTCAGTAGATCAGAGAGCCTCTTGAGTCCTGATCCTCCCAGGCGATTGTTGCTCAGATCCAGCTCTCTCAGGTGTGAGGGGTTTGAACTCAGAGCTGAAGCCAGATAACCACAGCCTTCTCCTGTCACCTTACAGCGCCGTAATCTACAGACACACACAGAAACAATGAAGATATCTGAGACTGTGACATCAGAACTCACAACAAAAGCTTGTTAAAACTTTTGAATAATTACACATCCATTTAATATATACTGATGAGATCTCTCTCATTTCATAAACTATAAGTTCTGCTGAAAGGAGAATATGGTTCTGATCAGATCTATACAGCCATCTAGCAGATACTGAGGCAGAGATGTTCACAAGTCTGGACCAGCACGACAACCGTCTGGATTGAGCCGAGTAGGGGTCATCTCTAGGGTCTTCAAGTGGGCACCTTCCGTCCTCAGTGTTTCGTCGACTAGCCCACGACACCTCAAGAGGGCTCGACAGTGACTCTGGCGTCCCAGAGTCACCCCCCTCCGTCCCCCACTCAACTCAGCCCAGCTTACTGACCTCTACATCCCTCCTGCTGCTGAGACCTAACCACAATCTCACAATCTCTCCGCAACCCAACCATACGCGCCAACCCGTTTGACTAAGGCTGTCGAGCCCCACTGGTGCGTTAAAGCAGTTTCAGTGGCAACGGTTCCGTATGGCATACCACCTACCGCAAAACACAATGTCTGCCCAACCACGCAATATACACAGGAACGTAATGACTGTAAATACTATACAACCTATACAAATAAACCAACAGACTCTTCAAGTTTTCAAGAATTCTACGAAACCGTAGCGTGGCGGCCTGTACACAGCCAGCTAGAATCTTTCCGTCTCAACCACAGCCAGTTGCTGCTCCTTTCTGCTGCTTCAGATAAGTTCTTTACTGTGCGACGCAACTCTTGGCCACTGAATCCGACGTCTCTGAGGAACCGGGTTGTAGAGTGTGCCACAAAACCTCGACAACCCACTTCCACTGGATAAACCTGGACTCTCCATCCTCGCTGTTCTGCTTCAGTGGCCAGATGAGCATACTGCAGTTTCTTCCTCTCATATGCCTCATCTACCGCATCCTCCCATGGCACTGTTAACTCTATCAGTTGAACAATGCGTGCTGATCCAGACCACAAAACAATATCTGGTCGTAGGTTAGTGGTGGCAATCTCAGATGGAAAAATAAGCTGTTGATCAAGATCAGCCAGCATCTTCCAGTCCCTAGCAGCTTCCAGTTGTCCTGGGCGAGAATTGGTGTTAACACCTTTTCTTGGTGGTAGCTCGCCTGGGCGGAGGAATATTGTCATCTGCGTGTAATGTTTTGCTAGAACAGGCGCAACTTATTGGTCATACTACGCTTGCCTTCCAATGCTAAAGCCAAACATCGGAGTACTTGGTCATGGCGCCAAGTAAACCGACCTTGGCTGAGAGCCACCTTACATCCTGTCAAAATGTGCTTTAATGTGGCAGGTGATGAACACAAAGGACAAGAGGGATCCTCTCCTACCCAGAGGTTTAGGTTCTGTGGTGATGGGAGAACATCATATGTTGACCTAATAAGGAAACTGATCCTACTCTCTTCCATTGACCAAAGGTCTTGCCAGCCCATCTTGCGTTGTTCCACACTCTCCCATCTCATCCACTCTCCCTACTTGGCCTGGAAAATGGCCTTTATACACCTCATCCTCTCCTCCTGCTTTCACACCTCGTTGACTACCAGCTTCCTCCTTTGAGCTGGGCCTGCCTTGTGCCATTTAGGAGGAGCTAAACTGAGCCCAAAACCCCCTCTTCCATGCTGTACCTGTCCCACGATATCCCCAATTTGAAGGTCAGCCTTTGCCACTACTACAGATTTCTTTGCTGACCACTTTCTACCAGTTTTTAACACCGGGGCAATCTCTAAGTGGACACAAGATGGCGCCAGTCAAAGTTTAAAAAATCTCTCTTTAGGGACTTCCTTGTCACAGGTAGTTGCAGGCAGGCAGGCGAAGACGAAGATCAAATTCCAAATACAAGGTTTAATTGTAATTAAACGCAACACAGACGAACAGGTAGCAACTCACACCAGATACAACGTAGAACTGACAAGGACTGACTGAACAGAAGGAGCTTAAGTACAAACACTGATGACTTAAACCCGAGGTGTCCCGTCGTGGTTTGAAAAATCACCCTTTAGGGACGTCCTCATTTGTAAATCTGGTATAAAAATAAAGTAATTGAAGGTTTTGGAAAAACGCAAAAAGGTTTGTGTGATGGGTAGATTTAGGGGTCAGGTTAGTCTGTGTGTGTGTGTGTGTGTGTGTGTGTGTGTGTGTGTGTGTGTGTGTGTGTGTGTGTGTGTGTGTGTGTGTGTGTGTGTGTGTGTGTGTGTGTGTGTGTGTGTGTGTGTGTGTGTGTGTGTGTGTGTGTGTGTGTGTGAAGGAGAGTCAGTGAGTGTGAGAGTGTGAGTGAGAGTTAGAGTGAGAGTGAGTGTGTTTATTTTAAATTGTAATAATATTTCACAATATTACTGTTTTTTTAATCAAATAAATGCAGGCTTGGTGAGCAGAAGAGGCTTCTTTTAAAAACATAAAAAATCGTACTGATCCCAAACTTTTGATCAGCAGTGTGTGTATATAAATATATATTAGGGCTGTCAGTTAAACGCGTGATTAACGGCATTAACGCAAACCCATTTTAACGGCGTTAATTTTTTTATCGCGCGATTAACGGCCTTTTTGGCCTAGCAAACACAAAGCAAGCCGATCCACTTTTCCATGTTGATAAGAGCAAATCAAAATCAGAAATCAAGAGACATTTAGAATAGATAAAAATGTGCGATTAATTGCGATTAATCGCGAGTTAACTATGATATTAATGCGATTAATCGAGATTAAATATTTTAATCGCTTGACAGCACTAATATATATATATATATATATATATTAGGGGTGTAACCAGTGCTTTACGTGGCCCAAAAGAGGTGGCGGTACTCTATTATTATTTATTTATTTTTTTATTTTTTGCTGACTCCCCTCCTCCCCTGAGGTAACAAAAACTATATTGAAGGGGGTTTATATAAACAGCAGTCAACAGACGACCTTATAAAAAATAATAAATCCTTTTATTAGTTTGTGGATTTGCTTTAGCTAGAAAGAGCTACTGAACATACCGTATTTTCCGCACTATAAGGCGCACTTAAAAGCCTTTCATTTTCTCAAAAAACGACAGTGCGCCTTATAATGCGGAGCGCCTTATATATGGATGGGGAACACACGTTCACCAAGCCGGGGAGACAGCGCCGGGCGACTTACGCCACTATCTGCCAATGGATCGTGGATGCCTGGGCTGATATATCAGTCTCAACTGTGATCCGAGCTTTCAAGAAGGCAGGAATAATCTCTTTATTCAGCCAGCTCACATACCTGTATTTACTTCCTGTTTTCGGCCGAAGTCCACAGTAGTTGATTATCGAGTTCGCGCGCGCGCGATCAAACCTCCTCCGTGTGTTCAACATCGGATTCGGATGAACTGTCCATTTGAGCTGTTATTCTCAGAACACCACACAGCACCGTCATCGGCTGACAGCTGACAGTCTGAGTCTCCACTGTTGCTTAGTTACCAATGATCGCGTGCGCGCACTCGACAATCGCCTACTGTGGACTTCGACCGAAAACGGGAAGAAAATACGGGTATGTGAGCTGGCTGAATAAACATAATTTTTATTCATATCTTTCACATTTACTGCCGTCAGATTCACCGTGTTCACTCACATGGCTGTGCACTTGTAATGACACATTAAGGTTGTTAAGAGGCTAAAAGCAGGTTTAAAACTTTTCCCGTTTAAGTCAACAGGGTGCAAATTTTAAAAAGAGGATAAGACGGTGTAGGCAACACCGGTTTTTGTCATTGTTATCTGTACTGACAGCACTCCAAATTTACAAAAAAGTGAGCTCAATGTTAAAATTGACCGGAGTTTTCCTTTAACGTTTGAACAACGTTACCATGGGAGTGAACGGAGTTGTCAGAAAGCTTAATAAAGTTTGACTTTATCTGACTGTTTTGTTGACATTTGTTGACATCTAGTGGATGCATAACGCAAACCCAGTCAAACGTTTGACTGCAGTATCTTATGCGCCTTATAATCCGGTGCGCCCTATATATGAAAAATGTTCTAAAATAGGTCATTCATTGAAGGTGCGCCTTATAATGCGGTGCGCCGTATAGTGCGGAAAATACGGGTAAATAAAATGTGCAAAATGGTATTGAAAAAATACCCTTAGAAAGAGCTACAGTAGAAAGAGCTACTGAACATAAATAAAATGTACAAAATGTGGATATGAATCCAACTGGAAAAACTTGTGAAAAGATATATTTTGATTAGTCAAATAGCAAATAGCATATAGTGAAGCTCTATAGCCATCTAGTGATTTTTATTTTATTTTAAAACTGCATTTTCCAAAAAATGGCCAAAAATCTTACATTAAACCATGTAAAATTATCCATGTTATCTCCATGAATGAAAGTTAGAAATCTGGGTCTTTTATAAAGTGAATTTGACATAAAATGCTGTTTTTTTTGTTGTAAAAAGCCTATTTAAATAAATATTAATTTATAGAAATTTAAAAGATATCATAAATCCTCCCAAAACTGCACAGATGTTGAGTAAAAACATTAATAAACAGAGTAAAATTACATTTAAAAAAAAAAAAAAACTTTTATTCTGAGCTTCGGTGCCGGAAGTACATTTCCCATTCATTTCTCCCATTGACGTTTTGGAAAAACCGTATCTAAAGATTTTTAGAGCATGTCTGAGGATAACCAGCTACGGCTGCACTTATAAGCAAACAACATATCATTTCGAGTGAAAAAACGGAGAGAAAATCCAAATAAAATCAAAGGTACAAGACTGTGTACATATTTTCATTTCCGAGCGAAGGAACTACTCATCCCATAAACCACCGCGCCTCACTGAAGTCGACTGAAGCCACAACCGCAAAAGAGCCTTTTGAGCGACTTCCAAATCTGACGACGGCCACGCGAACTTCTTCCTCCAGTGAATTTTATATGGTGAATGTGCAGGGAAACACCTTTTCTGATTTAATGAAGCTTATATGCAAAACACATTGAGCATCTGGCTCGCTCATAGGCTGTACTGCGCCAACTGCACATCCAATGGCGCGGGCGCCTCTGACGTGCGACCAATGAGCTAGCCCTACGTCATTACACGATCTTCAGTCTTCACGGACCTTCGCGGGGTTTAACCAGACAGGTACACGGCACGCACTGTGATGCTCTATTTGTATTTTAACCGAGCAGCTAGCACTGACAGCGGAAAAAGCGACGCATGCGCTTTTCACTTGTAAAACTCAAGGGTGTATGGGTAATGTAGTCTCTGCTCTCGGTGGGACGAATTAGGAGGCGTGCATTGTGAAGGGAGCTCTGAAAAGCTGCAGCGCAGCCAAAGGATTAAAACAGATGTGCAAATGAGCGTACCAGTACGCTAAAAGCACGTTCTGGGCGCACGGAGAGGTGGCGGTACGCTCAAGAGCTATATTTGGAAGTGGCGGTACTGAGTACCGGTGCGTACCGGCCCACTTAAAGCACTGGGTGTAACGGTACACAAAACTGACGGTTCGGTACAGCGGTGGGACAGTTTAAAGGGACAGTTTACACAAAAATTAAAACTCTGTCATCATTTACTCACTATCATGTCATTCCAAACCTGTATGGATTTCTTCTGCCGAACACAAAAGATGATATTTTGAAATTTTGGTTACCACTGACTGAAAAGAGTGTCTTATTTTGTGTTCGGCAGAATAAAGGTAGTCATAAAGGTTTGGATGACGTGAGGGAGAGTAAATAATGACAGATTTTAAATGTTTGCGTGAACTTTCTTTTTCAGAAGGCCTACTCCTTGAGATTGATATTGTAACAAAGTAAATCAGTAAATCTTTTCCTCCACGCAGCTTCGACATTTCACTCCACTTACACTTGCATTTGGTAAGACTGAAATACACATACATATACTCACAGGATGAGATTAATCTTATTGCTCAACATACCTGAGTTTATTCAGTGCACAGTTTGGATCCTTCAGTAGATAAGAGAGCATCTTGGCTCCTGAGTCTCCCAGGTGATTGAGGCTCAGATCCAGCTCTCTCAGGTGTGAGGGGTTTAACCCCCTGGGGTCGGCTATCGCGCCGGCGCGATAGGCAGACTTTTTTTCTTATCAGTGCAAAAGAGACTCAAAATACTCTGTTGATTTTAATCTTACATGTAAGTGTTATACATCAGTCGATCCTGTTTAGTGTATATTATTTTTCTGTATACTCACAATAAAAACAAAGTGTTGTGCTTTTTGTCAAATGAAGAAAAATAAACATGATGCGAGTTTTGCCTTCTCTCTGTCAGTGCAGTCCATTCTGAAACGCGTCCGAAAAATGAACTCTAACTCTGCAAATACTTGTCATACAGGCACGAGAGATTTTTCTTTATGAAGCTTGAATTCTCTTCTTTTCAATGAAGTAATTTATATAAAAAACAAATATTCTCAGTTTATGTAATCTGTATGAAAAGAGAGTGCTGTCAGTATTTTTTTCCCCAGCTCATTACACTTCATTACGCGTTAATCTGACACGCCCACGGAGAACGCGCGCTATTCAAACGCAAATGTTGAGGAAAGCCATGACAATGCCCACATCAGCCGTTCCACCGCGGAGGTAAAATGTGGGGTGTATTTGCTACCTTTTACCGCTAAGAGGCGCTACAATCATAGACTCTGAAAAGTGTTCGTTTATTCTCTCTAATGCGTAATCTGCTGCTCATTCAGAGCGATTGAAAGCTGGTAGCAGATGAATTCAACAAGTGAAACGTAGTTAAAATAATTCATAATCACAATACTGAAATTAGGCTGAAATACTGAAATGAAATTGAATAAATAATGAAAACATAAAACATTGCAATAAAAACATTTAGGCTACATCAATGAAGCTTTACAAGAGCATAAGACTTTAACTCTAACAGCGTACAAACGGTGGCTCAGTGATCAACGCAACAACACAAGCTTCAGGGAGTTTCAATCGACCCGAGATCGAATCTCAATGTGGCATACATGTTGTTAACCGATGTTGGCCAACAGCGTTTATATTTTACCTTCTTGATGCTTAAATAGCTAACTGTTTATAACTGTTTACTTATTTAAAGTCAAGAGTTTTGTTTAATTATCATTACAACATAAATTTGCTACATTCCAGTAGAACCGCAGCCGCTGCACAAAGGACACAAACTGATGAAGGAAGATTGTCAGCCGAGTGCATTAGTCTGCTCGTCTTTAGTCTGCTAAATTATTGTGTAATGTAAAAGAACACTAAAATTACTTAAGTTTGAAACCAAGTTCGAACATTTCAAGGTTTAAATAAAGTGTTTTTTTTTTATTTAAAACAGGGTTGCATCGGGTTTAGAGTTTATTTCTTTTGCGATGCAAAATAAGAAACACTAGGCTAATATTATTCTTGCGACATTTTAAATTTGTATTGCCAAATAAATGACATTAAACAATTAAAACAGTAGGCCTACAAAACGAAAATTGTCCAAAGCAACATAATTAAATTAAAACATGCGTTTTTCTTTGCCTCTCTCGCGCTGAATCTCTTTTTAACAAGTTTATTTAGTCTCCCTCGCTCTCCATATGAAAGAGGAACATTAACACCTAGGCCTATTGTCCTGCGCGCTCGATAGGCTACAGCACTGAACTGTCCCTCCAACCCCCCACAGGCTATCGGAGTCTGAGGCTGATTTAACACAAAGAGAAGTCGTAATTCACACTTAAATCGCTATTCTAGACAGTGTTGATAATGAAGGAATTAAATGATTTAAGTTACATGTAGCCTAGTGAAATTTCTGTCATAAAAGTTTATTACTAAATATTTCATTATTTCAATAATTGATGAAATAAAACTGGTTTGGGCCAGCTTTTTCCAAGCAAAACTAAATATAATCTGAAAAAACGCATGTTTGTTGTCATGAACAAAATGTTCAACTTAATATTAAATTCTACAGGGATCTTTGGATCCTTTCAACCAGGCATGCAATTTGTGAATTAAGTTTTTATTATTTTTTTTATTATTCAAATAAATATCGAACCACGGTGCTTCGTGGTAATGCTGCTAAATTAAATAACATGTAGGCCTATAGAATAATTATGAACTTAAATGAAACAATATCGCAACATTTCGACAAATACATTATTTGATCTGTTTTTACATTTTAATTCAGGGCGATTTAGCCTGCTACATTTCATTAGAGCGAGATTTTCACCCTTGTCATTTTCTCATTGGGAAGCGCTTACAGGCTACATGTTTGAGTAGATCCTCTGTACCTCTCGTTTTCATATGGATTACATAATCAGATAACATTTATTAGCCTGAATATTTAGACATTTAAAGGCATTAGACAGAGCCGATTTCTTATAGTGACTGAGCTGAAGTGGCTTTCGGTTCATTTTTGTGACGCGCAGTTCCCGGAGACAGAGACGACAGATAAACTTTTGTCGTTAGCAAAAGTTCGAATAAAACCCGATTTTAGAAAAATGCATAGGGCCACTCGGCGTGGTCTGCCAAAACACTTAATTATAAACTTCAATATTTCATTCAAAATAATCTCAAAACGCTTTGTGAAATTTTGAAAAGCCGTGCATGCATTAAGGCCACTTGAACTAATGGACAACTGAAACGCTGGTTTTGATTTTATTGTTTATCGTTGTTTAAACGTGCTTGTTCTGTTGCATATCTCTATTTTATATTTGATATGGTCTATTGGTGAAGTAGCCTATAGCATTGATTAGCTGTGGAGGGAGGGGTGTGGGGATTCAAATAATTCAGCAGAAGCAGGGATGTTTAGACCAGAAGGAAATCCCCGTCCCCCTGGCAAATCACACTTTACTTAAAACCATGTTTTTAAAAACTCTAGGTTGTAGGGAATCAAAAAAATAATAATAATAGGCCTAATAAAAAAAATATATATATATATTGGCTATATATATAAAATTACTTTTTTTACAGAACTGCTTTTGAAATTACGATTGGCCTCATACGATTGGTACAGATGCAAAGTCGTTCTGTTGGATACTATTGTTCCTTAGTGTAAAATGGAAATGCATGGTAATTTTATTTTATAAATATAAGCAAAAAACTGTATGGTGTAACAGAGTTTTAGAGCTACACAAATCTCTCTGCATTAATAAATATAAAATTTGCAGTAGACCATGTTTGTTCGGGATTTGAACCCGTGTCATCTTGATGATCGAACCGTCAGTTCTACCGCTCGGCTATGAATTTTCTCACTGAGAAATGCCCAAACGTTTGTTTGTCATGAGCGAGAAAACGTTTTGTCGTTAGCCTGTGAGTGTAGGCCTACTTTAGCCTACATGAATAAAAGTAGACCTTTTACAGTTTTAAAAGATGATATCTTATCTGTATGACCAACAATTACGCAGTAAGTTCTTTTAGCTGTTATGAGAAAAATAAATTCAAATGAACGCGCCGCCGCGTTTGTCAAACTCTAATTCAACATGCCAGAATAAAGCCAGATTTTAGAATAATGCATAGCCACTCGGCGTGGTGTGCCAAAATACCCTAATTATAAACTTCAATATTTCATTCAAAACCATCTCAAAACGCTTTGTGACATTTTAAAAAGCCGTGAATGTATTAAGGCCACTGGAACCAGGATCGTAACTGCAACGCGCTGCATGTCTCAATACAGGAGCAGAAGCGCTGGTTCAGATTGTATTGTTTGTTGTTTAAACGTGCATGTTGCATATTTAAAAATATTTGTTTAAAAATAAATGTTTGTTGTAGGCTTATTTGCAAATTACCATAACTTGTAGAATTTCATCCTTACTGTTAATTGACATTAGCCCCACTTACGTTTTGATAAATGTCCCTTTGCGCCACCTGGCGGTCATTTCGCGAACGACTTTGAAATGCGACTGGTTTATTTTTATTGTATTGGTCTACTTTAAAAAATAATACTTTATAAGACATTTATGGAAAAAGACTATTTTCTTTTCAAGATTCTGTAGAATGGCCCATATAGCATTTGACTAGAATTTGTTTCCAGGTATGACTAAAAATGTGCTTTTGGCTTTCATTTATATTTTGATTGTTTGTATATATATATATATATATATATATATATATATATATATATATATATATGTGTGTGTGTGTGTGTGTGTGTGTGTATATATATATATATATATATATTTAGGCTATATATATACAAGAAAGAATGCAATGACAATATATATATATATTTTCCTTGCATTATTTCTTGTGTGACACCCCTGAATGAAAGGCTCATTATTATGCAGGGTCACTGTCTGAGAACCACTTAATATTCATGATAGGGGTTGGGCCGTTCCGCCCATCTGCATATTGCCTTGGCAAACAAAAAAAATGTTTTTCACAATTTAAAACAATCTATTGGTTTATGTGAATGATTAGGAAGGATGATTTTCAGATCATTTTGAAGCCAGAACTCGAAGCATCAACATCCATTTGTCAAAAGTCTTGTGGACACATATTTAGTATTTGTTTTGTGGTCTTATTTCAGCAGCTTTCATTTTAATTTTTTTCAATAACCACGCATAAACAATATTCTCTTAAAAATACAAACAATGTACATACAAGTTGCTCACAGATTATGGTAGCCCTGTTTGTGCTATATAGAGTGAATTTACACCTTTGCCATTAACATGTTTATAAATAACTGAAAAAAGCACAAATGTAAGGGCATCACAGAACATCCAAATGGCCCCAAAAACACCTCAGACCCCAGAGGGTTAAACACAGAGCTGAAGCCAGATAACCACAGCCTTCTCCTGTCACATCACAGCGCCATAATCTACAAACACACACAGAAACAATGAAGATATCTGAGACTGTGAGAAAGAGAGAGACAGAGTGTGTGTATCCGAATTTGACAAATAATCAATTTTCTTGTCCCTAATAGTCAACATAATGCAGGGGAAACTGTCAAATGAACTGCAGCAGTGCTAAACTTGCATCATAAAACGTCTCGGGTTATGACTATAACCCTTGTTCCCTGAGAAGGGAACGAGACACTGCGTCGAGAATCGACACTTTGGGGACGCTCCCTAAGCGTGCGCCTCTGAAGTATGAATGAAACTAATCCAATCCTGATTGGTGTTGCGTCGTGACGTAACATGTGACGGCATACCCGGAAGTATAAAAGTGACGCTGTCACAACACACACTAGCCTCGCGATGAAGCAAGACGCTCTAAGGCCTCAAGGGGCATGGCAGAACGACGCAGTGTCTCGTTCCCTTCTCAGGGAACAAGGGTTATATTCATAACCCAAAACGTTCCCTTTCGAGGGAACTCTACACTGCGTCGAGAATCGACACTTTGGGGAACGAATGCCCACTAGGCCACGCACGGAATAGGCCTGTCCCGGAGTGAAACTGTTTAGGCACTCAGCAAGGACTGAGCACGTGTGCGCCAGGCGTACTAGGAAGGTGGAGACTGTAAAACCTAATAAAAGTATGTGAAGTAGCCCAACCGGCTGCCTCACAGATCTCCTGTAGAGGTACTCCCGAAATAAGGGCCCTAGAGGAAGCCATGCCTCTAGTTGAATGAGCCCTCACGGCTAAAGGTGAAGGCAAGTCGCGCACCTTGTAAGCCTCAGTAATAGCCTGAACAATCCAATTACTAATAGTTTGCTTGGATGCCGGGAGCCCCTTCTTAGGTGACCCAAAACATACTAATAATTGGTCCGACCTTCTCCAAGAAGAGGACCTCTCAAGGTACACGCTCAACGCTGACGGGGCAGAGCAAATGAAGCTTCTCTTCTTCTGCCAACACATGAGGTGGAGGATGGAATGCCTGAAGGACTGTAGATCGAGTCGTATTAGTTGGAACTTTAGGCACGTAGCCCGGACTCGGGTGCAAAAAGGCCTTCACTCTGCCAGGGGCAAACTCCAAGCAAGCTGGTGTCACTGCCAGGGCTTGGAGATCTCCCACCCTCTTAAGTGAGGTAATAGCCAAGAGAAATACCACTTTTAGCATTAAGTCCTTAGGCGAAGCCGACTGCAAAGGTTCGAAGGGGGCCAGGGATAACCCTTCAAGAACTATTGCCAGGTCCCAGGCAGGAACCCTGGACCTGGTTGCCGGTCTCATCCTCCGAGTATCACGGAGCAAACGAATGACCAACTGGTGCCTCCCCAGAGGCCCATCACTTAAAGGTGAGTGGAAAGCCGCAATGGCAGCCACGTATACCTTAAGCGTGGAAGGGGAGAGACCCGCAGAGAAACGATCTTGAAGAAATTCCAGAACTGAAGCCACCGGGCAGTTGACTGGATCTAACTCATGTTCTCTACACCAAGTGACAAACACATTCCACTTGAGGCCATATAATCTCCTAGTAGATGGGGCCCTAGAGCTAAGTATGGTTTCAACCACCCCGGCTGATAGACAAGCATTTAGGTATTGAACCCCCTCAGAGGGCAGACCCACAGCTTCCACAGCTCCGGGCGAGGGTGGAAGATTGTGCCCTCCGCCTGAGACAACAGATCCCTCCTCAGAGGAATCTGCCATGGCGGAGCTATCAGGAGTGATATTATGTCTGAAAACCATACTCGGGTCGGCCACATTGGGGCAACCAGAAGTAGACTGATGCCCTCTTGACGGACCCTCTCCAGGACTCCCGGGAGCAGAGCAATCGGGGGAAATGCGTACAGGCGAAGCCTCGGCCAGGCCTGTACCATGGCATCCAACCCCAGTTCCCCATCCAACTCTCTCGAGACGCAAATAGATCCACTTCCATTGGTCCAAAACCTCTCCCATATCAACTTCACCACTACCTGGATGAAGTCTCCATTCCCCGGGCCTCAGTCCCTGCCTTGACAGGATGTCTGCTCCCTGATTTCTGAACCCTCGGAATATACATTGCTATGATAGACAGTATTTCCCCCTGGGACCAAAGAATAATCTGATGCGCCAGTCTGCACAGAGGGCGCGATCTGAGTCCCCCTTGTCGGTTCAGATAGGCTATCACTGACGTATTGTCAGATCGTACTAAGACATGGTAACCTTTGATGTCTGGGAGGCAGCTCCTCAAAGCCCTGAACACAGCCATCATCTCTAGACAGTTTATGTGCCAAGAATGATGATGGTCCTGCCACACACCCCTGGCAAAGCGGCCGTCCATGACCGCGCCCCAACCAGTGAGGGAGGCGACTGTCGAAACGGTTTTCCGGCGACATGACGCTCCCAGCACTGGCCCTTGGGATAGGAACCATGGTTTCTTCCAAATTACCAGAGAACGAAGGCATCTGCGCGTAACTCTGATTATACGGAACAGATTCCCCTTGAGGTAAAAAACCTTTGGCTCTCAGCCACCACTGAAGGGGGCCTCATGTGTAGAAGGCCCAAATGTATAATGTTGGATGCCGCTATCATGAGGCCCAGCAGTCTTTGAAACTGCTTTACAGTGATGGCCTGGCCTAGCTTTATCCCGGACACCATGGCCAGGATGGATTCGATACGAGCGGGAGACATACGTGCCCGCATTGTAACCGAATTCCATTTCATGCCCAGAAGAGCAGGCTTCTGAGCTGGGTCCAACACATTTTTCTTAGTGTTGAGTCTCAACCCCCGATTCTAATTCTGGCCAAGGACGACATCTCAATGCCGAACTGCCATTCCTCGAGACTGGGCCAATAAGAGCCAGTCGTCGAAGTAATTCAGTATACGGATGCCCTGAAGCCTCAGTCGAGCCAGAGTCGCATCCATATACCTACACATGAACATGCGGCGAGAGAGTGCTAGGCAGAACGGAAGAACCCGATCTAAGAGAACCAGCCTCTCGAGACTGGCCTCTGGTGGTTTTTGAGCACCCTTCTCGACTGCCTGAAGCGGAAGACCGGCAGGCTGTAGTCGATACGGTTTCCGTGACCATTACTGATGCTTGTTTTTTTATTTTTTGAGGAAAAACGAAGCAGAGTGCATTCGCTGGAAAATGATGCGGCCAGAAGCGTCATAGACGGCGGGCAATACACATCGTTTCCGGGCCCCGCTGCAAGAACAACATCGGTTGCCCTGCAACTGAGTGGACAGCCCCAACTTTTAGATCTACCATGCCAAACCAGTCCTCGGATCTGATTTGGTTTCCGATAATAGAAATTGTAAGCATTTTGAACCTGGATCTCCTCAAAGAACAAGTCAATAGCCTTAGATCTAAAATTGGCCTCAGTCCACCATCCTCCTTTGGAACTAAAAAGTACCGGCTGTAAAACCTGGACTTCCTGTCTGGTAGGGGAACACTCTCCATGGCCCCTTAACTTCAGTAGAGTCTGTACCTCTTGTTCCATAACCCGAGCCTGTTCTGGAACCACTGCGGTCGGTACGACCCCAACAAACTTGGGAGGTCGGTAACCGAACTGCAGTCTGTACCCATATTTAAAAATATTCAGGACCCATATAGATGATTGGAAGGCGTTGCCATTCTACAAAATCTACTAAGGGAACCAGCCCCTTGAGACCGGCCTCGGGTGTTTCTCGAGCACTATTCTCGACTTCCTGAAGCAGATGACCGGCAGGAAAATGTCTAGAAAAATTTTGTGACCATAGTCGGTGCCTGGTTGCAAGCTCTTGGGGTGAACGCCACGGTGTGCGTTCGCTGGAAATCGATGTAGCCCGAAACGTTCAAAACGGCGGGACAACACACCCATATATATATATATATATATATATATATATATATATATATATATTTTATATATATATATATTTTATAAACCTGTCGACGATTGAAGTTACAGCGTCGGAGAACAGGCCAGAAGGTGATAGCGGAGCGTTCAGCAGAAAATATTTGTCTTTCCCTTTTTTTATCCCAGACAAATTTAGCCACTGATGTCTCTTCAAAGCCATCATAACTGCTACAATAAGCTATGGTACGTTTAGTGCCATGGTACGCCTGCAAAATCGTCTTAGAGTACAGGAACGTACCAGCCTGACCAACCGCCATATAAGCCCAGCCAACCAGTGCAGAGGTGTCCCTGCACGATTGTTGGGCAGCGCCGGGACTTTAAGCGAAGATGCCACATCAGGAGAAAGATAGCTCACTAAAGCTTCCTCCATTTACAGCTTCTTGCCATAACCCGCCTCTCTCACACCCACCACATTCAAATAATCATTTAATGAATGTGATGAGATATGAAAAAGAGTGGGGTTTTTCCCAGGAGAGTTTCTATCTCTTTATGAAGATTTGGGGAAAAACACAGTTAGCCCGGCGCTGAGGTTGTGAATAGTACTACAGGAATCTCTCGTCTAGCTCTTTTTGCTTTGACAAGGATCATCCTGCTTATTTTGTGGCCAGCTAACATATATATATATACATATATTTATGAGTGGACTCCACAGTATGCATCACAACCTCCACAAGCTCTAGATAAGCAGAAACATGAGCCGGCGAGTGTGACTCATGTTGCTCGTTCCCAACGCTGAGCATAATCTACTTCCTCAGAAACAGATAGCTCGAGCAACATGCACTTGTCACGGGCAGAAGAAACCGCATCTCAGCAGATGATGAACGAAAAAATGCCTCAGCAGTCTCGTTTCTCATCCGCGAGATCCTTCTGCGATCCTCGCAATCCAAGCCACCGCGCCGCCTCAACGGACGCGGGAGCCGAATCGCGGGGATCGCGAGCCTGGCCATCATCAGAAAATAATATAGCCGAGCGGGAGGGCAGCACTCTATTAGGAAGTGCTTCACAGTGTTCACAGGCAGCCCTCTCGAGAGCTGCCTGTGTGTGCTGTGCTCCTATAACTGTACACACACAACTGATGCGTGTCCCCGCCCGTGAGATATACATGTACATGAGT